GTGCGCGCCGTCGGCGGAGTGAGACTCCCGGGCCGCCCAGCGCTGTTTTGCTTGCTGCCGCTTGCTAATAAATCCTTCAAATTTAATTGGCTCTGTCTCCTCGCCTCACTTTGTGAGACTAACTTATAACAAGGTAGAGGCATATTTACACATAGATACCCCTTAGTCATTATTTCCAGGCACCATAGCCTAGGACACATTGCAGTGCTCTAATAAGCACCAGTTTTGGGGTGGTATCACCGAGCTTTTGGGGCCCAGGCCCCCGAGAGTCTCATCCAGGACACCAGGGTTTTTGGGGACCCCAGTCTGTCCCAGCAGGCCGTCTGGCGGGAAGGAGCCACCACACAGAGGGAGCTCCTGAGCACTCCCTGGAGCGAGGCCAAGCTAAGGAGAGCACTCGCCCTCTGTCGCGTCGGGCCTCCCAAACCGGGCCGCCGGACCGACCCCCTGCGCCGCGCCCAACCGGACACTCTTAGCGCGTACCCGGAAGCGCTTGCCGGGCTATAGCGGAAGCGGGGCGGAGCTCAGCCTCTTTGATGCTGGCGCCCAGAGAAAATGGTGAGTGTTGGGGACCGGGTGGGGGGTATCTGCTGCCATCCGCTGCCGCGCCGGGCTCTGCGGGGCCGTGGGCTTTGTCTGGGGAGCGGGGTGGTCCTGCGCCCGGCCGGGGCCTGAGCCTGAGGGCTGGCGGTGGGCGCTGCTCCTGGCCTAGGTAGTGGCGCGGGGCGTGTCGTCCTGGGCATGGAGGCCGCGGTGGAGTGTGGGGTCGTACTGCCGTCGGGGCGCCTCTGGGGCCTCCTTCGACGTTTCCTCCGCGCTTGCTGGGGGCCGGGCCGGCCTGGCACTCTCCTCGGGAATGAGGCAGCCTTTCAGATAAAGTAACAAGAGGGCGTTTGCTCGCCAAAGCCTGTTTGTGAGCGTATGACTGATCTGCGTGAAATAAATACCTTCCCTCAAGAAAAAGTAGTTTACTGTTTATACTCATGAATTTGGGAGAGATGAGAAGGGAGTTGGAGATAAAATGAAGCCACCGAGTGGTTATTTCAGCACGGGTGGGGAGGTAGGAATGGCAAAGAGGTGTAAGGAACTGATTTTTAAAAATGGAGAAAAGCTATAGGTGAAACTGAGTTCAGTGTACCTCTGACACGTTTATTAGACTGTGAATTTGTGTGTGTTTTTTAGAGGAGCTTATGCTTTGAGCAACATGACTTGTGAGTGCTAGTGATGTTTACAATGTGCAATGTCTTGAAATGTTTTTCAGACGAAGGGTACGTCCTCATTTGGTAAGCGACGAAATAAGACACACACCTTGTGTCGTCGATGTGGGTCCAAGGCATACCATCTGCAAAAATCTACCTGTGGGAAATGTGCTTACCCTGCTAAGCGTAAGAGAAAGTGTAAGTTACAGATGAGTTTAAAAACTTGTGTTTCTTTGTCATCTTCTATAGTCTGACTTTTTTCCAGCCGAGGAAGAATACTGTGTCATCTTGCAGTGTTTGGAGATTTTTTTTTTTTTTAAATTATACTGATTTAACTATATAACTTTTTTTTTTTCTTTTGCTTCTGTCAAATTGAATAGTTGTGCTATTCAGGTGTATTGTGCAACTAATTATTTGGTGCAAATGAGTAACAGTAACTTCTATGTTCTAGATAACTGGAGTGCAAAGGCCAAAAGACGCAGCACCACTGGTACTGGTCGCATGAGGCACCTGAAAAGGGTCTACCGTCGATTCAGGTATGATATTTTATTACAAACTAGTGTAATGTGAAATCTTGCATGGATTTCACTGAATTATAAAATTTGTCATTCAAAGTTTACACTCTTATTTAGTATGTTTAATTTGGTATGGTTTTTCTTTTTAAATATATTGTGGAAATAGATGATGCCTTATATCTTCAAAGAAATATGCTGCTAATTATAAAAAGCTCACTCATTGTTAACACATAGGATGTATAGCAAGCGCTGATGTTTCTGTCAAGTGTAGATAGTACAGAACACAGAAGGTATTATAATAAAATGCCCACATTTGAAAAGGTATGTTTTGTGTATCATTGCCTCTATTTGTGAGTCAGTGAAATTGCTGGTTGCACTGAAGTGTGGGTTTTTGTAAGAGACAATTCTTGAAATGCGTTCCAATCTCCTCTTGCCCACAAAAAAAAAGTTCAGGATTGAAATACTTCAGTAGTCGGACTCTGGAGTTCAGCTAGCAGTAACTGTAACATCAGATTCACAGAATTTTCAGAGTTGGAAGGGACCTCTAGAGATCATCTAGTCCAACTCCCCTGCTAAAGCAGGATTGCCTAGAGCACCTAGATTCTGAGTTACAGGTTTCTAAAATGTGTTATAAAGCTTTGAGTTGTACTTATGAGGTACTGTACTGTTTAACTCATGAAGAATTTCTTTTGTATGACCTCCATGTTCTGAAGAGCTCTGTAACTTCTGGCCTAATACACCAGAAAGCTGGATGAAAAATACCAAGATTCAAGAGTCTTTACTTAAAAATGTAGATTGGATTTAATAGTGAAAACTAGAAGTCTTTAAAATCCTCGACCTAGGTGTAGATGAGGGATCCATTCATGTGGTTTTTTTGGTGAGTGCAGTCTTTCCTAGCAGCAGCCAGAAAATACCTTACAATGTGCAACTGCAGCCTGATTTCCACCAAGTGTTGCTGAAGTAGAAATGCAATATCCAAAAGCAAGCTTGAGGCTCACTCTTTTGTCACGCCTGTCTTAATCTCTGGTTGGAGACATAGAGGATTTCTGCAAGAAATTGACTTGCACTTCAGTACTAACAAACGTGAAATCTTTTGCTGAGTTGCTGAATAGGAACATGAAGTAAGGAGTGCCTTCAGTGGGTGTGCTCTATCGGATTCAGTCTTGCAGTGTTTACTCAGTTACTGAAATCTTCCTGTTTGAAGAAGTCAAATTTACTTCAGCAGAAGAGAGAGAAAACCACACTGTTTTTTCCAAACAGCTTGTTGATGATGTTTCTCATTAAAAAAGTCTGAACATGTGGACTCCATAGTGATTTCAGTGCATTACTGAGAGAAGCTGAAAAAAGCTGGTGAACTTGATCTAAAACATTACATGTTAGAAAATAACCTGGAGCAGAAATCACCCTTTCAAAAAGTGGTAACCATATTTCTACTTGTAGGAATGGATTCCGTGAGGGAACCACACCGAAGCCCAAGAGAGCAGCTGTTGCAGCCTCCAGTTCATCATAAAGGCGCATCTATTCGTTAAAATAAATGGTCTTATCCAGAAAGTGTCACCTTTTATATGTGTTTTACTTCAGTGAAATACGGTATTCCTGAAAATACATATATTTACACACACAAATTCTTGATGGTATGCACTGAAGCAATTCATTAAAAATAATCCTTTAATTGACTTTTCATTTGATAGCACCTCCAACTTGAAAAGGACTTAAAAAGAGGCTTGTATGTGTTACTCAAAAGAACTTGCCTGCAAGAGAAATGGAATACGGGCACTATGGACTGAGTTTCGTTGTGCCCTAGCAGGGAGAATCAGAGTTTATCTCTGTTACGGTTTGAGGAACCCACAACAACTTATTTTTGTTTAGACAATTATTCTCTCACCTGATGACACCTCCCCACCTGGGAAGGAGAATCAGTGGGAAAAAACAAGGAAACACAAGGGTTGAAATATAAACAGATTTAATAGAAAAATATTAGATAATTAACATTAATAACATTAAAGAACCAAGAATGATCCTGATACCAATATAAAATATATGAGCATTATACTCAGCCAATTATATCAGTAGGAAGCTGTGCACTCCCAGCAGTGGACAGCAAGTGTTGGACACTGTGAGCGCTATGGCTTTGGGAGGAAAGGAAGACCTCAGAGGTCTGGCATCAGGGCAAGAAGTTCTCGGGATCACAGGCATCAAGGGAGGGAGCAAACTTGGCAGCAAACTTTCTAATTTATAGTGAATGTGAGGTTTGTAGTATAAAATAATCCTGTTGGCCAGCTTGGGTCAAGTGCAGGGTCTCGTTACTCCTCATCCCTGCACCTGGCCAACTTGAAAACGCAGATCTTGAAACCCACACACCACAGCTGACTACAAAGTAAATATTTTTACAAATTCAGACACTGGAGTCTTCTAAAAGTGCAGTTTTACCAAGCATTAGAAAGAGACTTTACTGAACTGTAAAGTTACTGAAAGATAAATTAGTCCTGTGTTGCTTAAACCAGGACATTCCACCCCTTATACCATATATATGTCACACTCAAATTGCTATTGCATTTGTCTTTTAATATGGGTAGCATGTCCGTCTTGAATGGTTTGCTGGACGCCATTCAACGAAGTTGGCTCTGGTTTCATTGCCACTATGTTATCCTGAAAAACACTTATTGAACACTGTTAGCGTTATGTGACAATTAACAACACATATTTTAACATTAAGGATTCTCACCCAAAATCAGATTTCCTAAAGGTACACATCGAACTTCTCCATTCTCCTGCATCACCCACCAGATATGGCCCGGTCCCATACCTGGTGGGAACCCCACGAGTGGGTCTGCCTTTACCCGAGGCCGGGGTAACCCAGACTGTTTTCCCCAACATATTCTTTACATGCACCACAGGGACCTTATTCCCTTGTACAGTAGGTAAAAGCTCTGACTGAGCAGGGCCAGCTTGGCTGACAGTTTCCCCTGGTGTTGACTAACCAGGTGGCTTTTGCTAGATGCTCGTCCCACTTTTTAAATGTTCCAGCACTCATTGCTTTCAGGGTAGTTTTCAGTAGTCCATTGCATCGTTCAACTTTCATGGCAGCTGCTATATGATAGGAGATTCAAATCCTTCTGGAAAGCCTGTTTTGCCATCAAACGAGGTAAGGTCAAGGGACCTGCACAAGAGATCTAGCTGTTAGGAATTAAGTGGCAAGACAGGTGCTGCCAGATCCCAATGGACATGATTAATAAAATAAGATCTATGTCCCCACCTACTAACAAAAAGGAGGCACAAGCCTTCTTAGGCCTTGTAGGTTTCTGGAGAATGCATACTCCTGGTTACAGTCAGATCGTGAGCCCTCTCTATGAAGTGACTTGAAAAAAGAATGATTTTAAATGGGGCCCTGAGCAGCAATCAGCCTTTGAACAAATTAAATGGGAGATTGTCCATGCAGTAGCCCTGGGGCCAGTTCAGACAGGACCAGATGTAAAAAATGTGCTCTACACCGCAGCAGGGGAGAACGGCCCTACCTGGAGTCTCTGGCAAAGGGCACCTGGAGAGAGTCCGGGCCAACCCCTAGGGTTTTGGAGTCAAGCATACAGAGGATCAGAGGCTCGCTATACCACTACTGAGAAAGAGAGATTGGCAGCATACGGAGGAGTTCGAGCTGCTTCAGAGGAAATTGGTACTGAAGCACAGCTCCTCCTGGTGCCCTGGTTGCCAGTGTTGAACTGGATGTTTAAGGGGAAGTCTCCTGCCACACATCATGCAACTGATGCAACGAGGAGTAAATGGATAGCACTAATTACTCAGCGAGCTCAAATAGGGAACCCTAATCGTCCAGGAATTTTGGAGGTGATCATGGATTGGGCGCAAGGCGCGGATTTTGGAGGGTCCCCAGAGGAGAGGATGGTGCATGCTGAGGGAGCCCCACCATATAATCAATTATCAGCAAATGAGAGGCGATATGCGCTGTTCACTGATGGATCTTGTTGTATTGCAGGAAACTGGTGAAGGTGGAAAGCTGCTGTGTGGAGTCTTACTTGACGAGTCACAGAAGCAACTGATACATATGGTACAGTTAATCCAAGAGACCATTAGATGTACAGTCTAAATTACATCAGAAATTATTACGTTTCATATTCAGTGTAGAAACTCTCACTTTTTAGACAAAAGTGTGTCAGATTAAGATTTCTCAGAGACAGAGAGGTGTTGTTCAAGTGACTGTGGTGGCAGAAGATTGATCAGATTTGGTATGTCTAGCTCCAAAAGTGTAACTGCATGACAGAGTTAAAAAAGAAAAAAAGGATCCTTGTCAGGTTGACTTGATGGTCAGAGATTTTTTCCAGTCTCAAACTTGTAAGTGGGAATTCTGCTTATTGCCATGTATTATTGTATTTCATCTGTGTTGGTTCATATTGAAAGGATGACAAGACCTAACACAGCTGTTCAATGCATAGCAAGCCATAGGTATCAGGCAACTAACCAAAGAGTTACTTTAAATCCAGAGTTCTCGGTTTCTAGTAGAGTAGGGGTTTTTTGGGTTTGTGTTTGTTTTTTTTCTTATGTATGGGCTATTGAGGGTAAGGAAGAACAAATGCCTATACCAGTACTAATGGTTGTATGTTGCAGTTAATAAAACTAATGCAGTCTCTCACAGAATCACAGAATGGTCAGGGTTGGAAGGGACCTCTGGAGATCATCTAGTCCAA